CCAAGAAAGTCTTGGGCAAACTGGTGTGAGTAGGCCACTTTGGCAGGGGGAGGGGAGGACAAGTCTTCAGGTGCATCTTAGCACGACAGCAGAACAGTAAGGCACTAACTGGTACCCAGTGCAAACCTGAAGGCAGAGAGCAGAGTACAGACCTTACACAGGCCGGGCGGTGGTGGCGCACGCCTTTAATCCCAGCACTCGGGAGGCAGAGGCAGGTGGATCTCTGTGAGTTCGAGACCAGCCTGGTCTACAGAGCTAGTTCCAGGACAGGCTCCAAAGCCACAGAGAAACCCTGTCTCGAAAAACAAAAACAAAAAAACAAAAACAAACAAACAAAAAAAAAAACAGACCTTACACAGTCCACCAAAGGCAAGATCTTTGGAGGGGACTGCAGTCCCTCTGACCACAAACAGGTGCCCAGCCTTACTCATTCGCCTCTGCAGGACCCCAGAGTCTCCTCTCCCTAGCTCAAGTCTTACTTATGTCCTTGGGTTACCCCTCCTACCCTTCCGCTTTCCCGAGATCCCCTCCCTTTGGGCACCAGGGTGACAACCTTGCAGAGGCTTTCCTTCCACCAGAAAACCAGAGAGCCTTTCCCTTTTTCTCCAGGGTACCCCAGAGCCTCAGGGGCTGTGGGAACTCTAGGAGTTGATATCTGTGCTCTCCTAGAAGGTCAAACGTCTGTCTGCCCCGTCATACCCTGGCTGCTAGTCTCTGCCTCTTATAACTGAACATCCTTTTCTTCTCTTTTCTGCAGGCCCACGCCCTCCCCCCCAAATTCACATGCTAAACCCTAATCCTCAAAGGGATGGTATTAGAAATAGGATCCAGGACTTTAGGAAGCGATTATGTCATGGGAGTAGAGCCCTCATGAAAGTGCCCTTATATAAAGAAAGGACCCTGGAGAGTCAGCTTTCCATCCCTTCTGCCTTGTGGGGGAAGGGTGTGGGTAAGAAGGCACAGGACAGATAAATGGACTAGAAAGGTCCTCTCACTGGATACCACAGTGACCACAGTGGCTGGTTCCTAGATCCTTGAGTGTCTAGCCTCCACAGCTATAATCAAAACGTCTGTTATTTGCAGCCCTCAAAATCTGTGGTATTGTTATAGCAACTGAGATGAGCTCATACACTCTCCGTCTGGGACACAGGGTCTAACTGAGAGACGCAGCTGTGTACGGGGAGCAGGCTTCCTTAGTTCCGCCTTCTTACACAGCAGTTCAGTTAAAAATATCCTCATCTCGATAGCCACGCAGATATATTTAGGTCCTTCGGAGAACCTTAGTTTCTCTAAGTCTCAGTGTCCCCATTTGAAGACGAACACTTCTACAACAGAGACAGTTCAAAAGCATAAGGGAGGGGGCCGAAGAGCTGGCGGAGCAGGGAAGGGCACTTGTTCTTATAGAGGACCAGGGTTCAGTTCCCATCACCTACACAGGACAGCTCATAAAAACAAGTAACTGCAGTTCCGGGGACCCCCATGTTTTCTTCTGGCCTCTACATACACGTGGTTGCACATGCAGGCATGCAGACGCATACACATAAATAAAAATAAATGAAAATTCAAAATATTAAATACAACTATTAGGGAAGGAAACAGGAGGAGCGGCTGCACCCTCCTGAGAAGCTAGCCCTTCGAACAAGCGAGCATCAGAATCCCTTGGAGGGCCTGCCTGGCTGCATCTGCTTCACTAGACCTGCAGTGCCCAGGTTCCTGGGGGAGGCTGATGCTGCTGGTCCATGGCCCACACTTTGAGAACCCCGCTAGAACACGGCATGCATGAACAGCTACAAGAAACAGGTCAACATGCACACACCATGCTTTGGACGGGTTTCTCTCAGAAGTTTGTTTGAATAAGTCACAATGGCCTCACAGCTTAAAAAGTATCTCTTTGCTGAGTTCTGAAGAGGATGCTATTTGAGGAAACCTCTTCTAAGAAGTTTTTTCCGGCCTACCCCCATCTGGCTTGGGGATGCAGCCACTTGGTCCCATCTTCTACCCTAGAACAGTATCCAGACACCCCTCCAGCCTTCTCTCTGATCAGGCTGAGGGCTCTGAACGCTGTCACCGAGCAAGGGCTCGGGAAGTCGGCCATCCACGTTGAGCGAGTCCGTGTAAACACTCCAAACACACAAACACTCTCAGTCTGGCAGAGTGAAGGCATCTTTCTCCACATAACTAGGTCCAATTTAATCTGCACTCCTGCTCACTGCTGGCAGCCATTCAAGCAGGCGAGCCCTGAACAAACCCAGGCTTTCACAGGGCTGTTGGGCCAGCTTCCACCTGTCTCTGGTGGGTGAGACCCCGGCTTGCCTAATGTCCCTAAGGTCCACCCACTGCGCACCAGAACTCTGACCTTCACTCTGGGGCATCCTGTTTGCTGGACCGCTGCGTCAGAGACGGGGACAGCGCATCTCCGCGGTGGAAATCACGCATCTTCCCCACGGAGGAAACTGTCTTTTTTGCCCCACGCGGATTCCAGCGCACCCACATTCCTGAGGCCCTCAGTTTATTTGGTCCTCGGTGAGCAGCAGCTCAGTTTTCACAGAGGTGGGCAGTTTTGACTACATGCAACTGTCAGAGGGCTCCAGCGAGGGGAAACCTTAGCCAGTTGGCATGACACAACCCAGCTATCAGCTCCATCTGCCAGGGTCTAGTTACCAGCCCCGAAGCCAAAAAGAAATGGGTTTCTTGGACACAAAAGTGGCGGAATTTGAGTTGTGAATTACATAACCCGCCAGTGTGCCTTAGACTGTGCTGCAGATAGTTTAAAACAAAAATAGTTTTTAAGACAAAAAAAAAAAAAAAAGTGAATGGAGAAACATCACCCTCCCCCCCCCTACAAGCCCTAACCCCACCCAGTCATGCAGTTTCTTCCTACTGTGGAGAACTTCTGCAGGCCCTTCCTCTCCTCACCTTCCAGCCCCAGAAGCTAACAAGTGCTGTAGCTTTAAGAGCAGGAAGGTGTTGTTTTAAGAGCCCTGGGAGCCCCCCTTCTCAATTTCAGCACTGAGCTGAGATCACATCCCCCCACGGCAGCCAAGGGACAAAAGCCATTTATCAACCCATCTGATAAAACTTCCAATGGGCTGGATCTTTATCCCCGACCAAACCAAGATGAACAACAGCATGCTGCCACTTCTCTGAAATTCTTTTTCTTTCTGATGATGGTTTTTACTTTTTAAAATTTTAATTAAATCCCCCTTTTTTTTTTTAAAAAAATTTAATTCTTGGGAACAAATAAGATCAGCCTTTCAAATAGAATATTTAGATCAGCAGCTCTCAACCTGTGGGTCGCGACCCCTGGGGATCAAATGACCCTTTCACAGGGGTCTCCTAAGACCATCAGAAAACTGATTGTTTACATTACGATTCATAACAGTAGCAAACTTACAAGTTATGAAGTAGCAACAAAAATAATTTTATGGCTGGGGGGGAGCAGCATAAGGAAGGTTGAGAACCACTGATTCAGATGAAGAAACTTGGGTTTCATGAACATGGCAGTGGGGGGAGGTTATCTCCCCTGCTGGAAACCACTGTGGGGGTTTTGAGATTTCAGGGTGTCTGGATTATGAGAGCTGTTAGGGCATACTGACACCCCTCTCCCGTTCTAGTTCTGGGCAGGGAGCTTTCTCTTTGGGAGTTTCAGAAAAAAAGATCTGGTGGTAGTCCCTGAGGGAGCTGGGACGTTTTGGCTAAGTGGGTACTGGGGGCCCTGTAGCTCAGCTGAGACAAGAGAGCAAACTCACCCTTACCCCATAGTGTTGGCTGTCCATGTCGTGTGCCCCCGGGAATGCCAACTTGAAGCCAGGCCTAGCCTGGACTGACTGCCCTGTCTGTCAGTTCCTTGAAACCCAGTTGGCTGAAAAGGAAATCAAAACAACCCAGTCCCAGTCCTAACTCAAGTCCTTTCTTGCAAATCTCAGCAGCGCAGAGCCAGCAGAACCACAGCTGGCCGCGCTCCGAAACAAGCTGGAATCTTTTGCTCAAAGACACCTCGGAACCCCACAACACAATGGAAAAGGCTGGGAGATCCCGCCTTACGAGGAGGACCATTTGGTCGTGACACTGTTTAGTTGTATTTTAAAAAGAGAAAAACGTGTGGAAAGCGTTTAACTGGCTTTTTCAGACTCTGAGTAGCATGAAATAAAAAATGAAATAAAACTTTACGAAACATTATAAAGAAAACAGACCGGGGATTTAAGATTCGTTCATTCCCCCTCCCCCCCAAAGGGGAAAAAAGTAAAGAAACCGGAGCGTTTGGAAAGGAACAAACGCTTCTCTGTGGAGTTGGTCTCCCTTCCCCCAACAAAAACAAGAGGTCCGGGCTCGGAGGAATTTGAAAGCAGCGATCTGCCAAAAACATTGTGAAAAACTATGGGGGATTCATTGGAAACAGATGGGCTTTTTCAGCTTTAATTCTGAAATTCTCTCGCTTTCTGGCACAATAAAAACAAACAGGGGGGCAACGCAGAATGTTATCAAACAGGAATTAACGCGTCTGAGCCTGTGTCCGTGGGCTTCCCCGCGTGGGCCAGCGTGGGGGCGGGACGGGGCGGTCGGGGACTAATCTGGGACCTCCCCAGCGCCCCCAGCTCCACCCCTGGGCAACCAACAGGTTTGCAAACTGGTGGGCGAGGAGCTGGAGAAAGTGCCCCTGGTGCGGAGTCCGAGCCTCCCCTTCTCCTCTCTTTTGGAGCACCCAAAAGGCGTCCAGGGCACCCGTTTTCTCGGAAGAAGGGAGGGGGGCAGAGAAGCATCCCTAGCTCTGCAGATCTCCCCATTTGCTCCTGTCCTTCGGAGCTCGGGCAGGAGTTCCCTCACCTCTAGGTCTCTTCCGACATCCACCGCTCCCTATGCAGGGCACGGGACAAAGACCCGTGGCAATGGGAATCTAGGTCCCCAGGGGGCTGGAGAACCGGGGACCCCCAACTCGCGCAGGGAGGCCCAGGAACGGGGAACCCGGCTGGCTGTGCCCCGGCCAGGGAGCTGTGTCTTACCTGCCGGGAAGCTGCAGAGAAGGACGGCGAGGGTCGGCCACAATCCCAGGGCTGAACGTCCTGCCCCTCTCCCCATACCCATCCATCCAGCTCGGCCTGTTACCACTAGCCTCTCCCTGGAAGAAGTTTAAAAGAAAAGGAAGGAAAAAAAAATCAATCACGCTGCAGAGAAGAGGCAGCCTTGCTCGGCCGGTGGGAGCAGCGAGCCGGGAGGCCCGGTCCACCTCCGCCACGGGCGCCCGGTGTCCCCCACCCCCAACCCCGCTGCCCGGCCCCGCCCTCGCCATCCATCATCCGCTTCCCCGCCAATGTCGCGGCTGCCCCGCGCCCCGCCGCCGTGAGCCCCGCCCTCCCGAGCTCAGGTTTCATCCTGGCGGGAGAGAGGGAGGGAGGATCGCCAGCCCAGGCTGCTCGGCCGGTGGCCAAGAGGACCTGGGGAACCAGGGGCCCGCTAGTGCAGGGCGCGTTCCTGGCTCCCAAGCTGCCACTCCCCACTCCCTCGGGTGGCTAAGGCGCTCAGGGCACGGGGATCTCAGAGAGTTTCAATCCTCCCCCATCAATATCGCATCCAAATTGAAAGAGCTTGGAGACAAACTCCAGCCTCCCTTTGCAACCAGACTACCGCTCCAAAGCCGCCGCCGACACCCCTGGGCTCGTTTTACTCCCCTTCAGATGTCTCGCCGGCACAGAAGACCGAAAGGCCGCCTCCGAAGTTGTCAGGCTCTGGGCAACAGTTGCACCTCAAGGATCACGCCCGCCTCGGACCTGGACTCCGCTGGGGACCCCTCCCGTACCATCTCTAAGCACCCGGTTGCTTCGCGAGAACCTGGCCCTGTTCGCAACAGAGATCTCTCTCATGAACTGAGATCTTGCTCATGGTGCCTCCCGGGACACTGCTACCAACCTAGTGAGAGAGAGATACTGTGGTCCCTGGGGCGCGCAGGCCGAGCCCTCTGGTGTTGAGGCAGAGGCTATATTCCCAAGCCCCATCTTGGGATGGCCTCAGGGTGGTGATCGCCCTTGACTCAGTCACTTATTTTTCCAGGAGAAAAAATGTCTTCTCTCTAAGGTGTTCCCTAGCTCTCCGGCCTTTGCGGTATTTAGGGGACTGGCAACTTCCCCTGAGAAACATCTTCTGGGTGACACAAATATGCCAGGGCAAGTGTTTTTAGTCAAATGGATTCCTCCGGCCCACCCCACCCCCCAAGCCAGCCCATCTGGCTCTTGGGGTGGGGTGGGGGTGGGGGAATTTGGATTTTGATCCAATTTCTCTTAAGAGCGATCACAGTCTCATTGCAGGCCACACAAGCTGCAGGCTATGTCTGCACTGAGAACTCGGCTGTGGGGAACTCGGCTGTGGGAGGGGAGACTGGGGGGGGGGTGGGCGGTTCTATGCCCCAAAGTCACATGGTGCCTCAGACAGGCAGCAAGACCTTACAGCTTCAGAATCTGGCCTTCCTGAAGCAGACGAGGGGGAACTAATTCCTCAGTCACCTGTGAAGCCAGACACTGCAGGTTCCTTTGGTCAAAAACCCCGTGGTAGCAGCCGGTTTTCCGTTCCAGTTGGGCTGCCGCGGGGATTCCTCTCAAATATTTAGGTCTCAGACAGAACAGGCTCTGCCTACTTATTGTTCCCTTGAACCGAAGCTTCCAAGTGCGGTGTAGGATTCTCCAGGGAGAGTTCACCGTCTCAAATCCAGGGCTCAAAAGTTTTCCTTTCAAGGCTGCTCTGCCAAACCCAACAACTGTGGAGAATCACAGCAGCCCGGCTTGCTCCAGGAGCAGCCCTGACAGACAGACAGACAGACAGACAGACAGACAGACAGACTGCCCAGACACTCGCTGTGGCCTTTCCACTCCTTAGGTCCAGAATTAAACCTAATTGGCTGGAATCTGCCTTTCAGATTTCTAAGCCTTTGTATAACCAGAGTTCTCCTAAGCATCCCCAGCAGCGCAGGGAAGGCCTCTCTAGCCCTGCCCTTGGTCCAGTGGCAGCGGGAATTTTCATCTCAACACCTGTTTCTCCCTGTGAACGGGCCAGGCTATTATTGTCACTTAAGACCACAAGTGAATATAATCTGGGAGGGGTACCAGGCCCTGGGGTTTGCCCAGCATCTCTGCAAGGGATGGGTGCTGTCTTGAGAGAGAGAGAGACTCGATTTTTTTAAAAAAAAAATTATTTATGTTTATGTATGTATCTGTGAGTGTGCGCACGTGTGCAGCTGCTGACACCCGACAGGGCAAAGAAGAAGAAGAGGGTGTCAGATCCCCTGGAGTTTGAGTTACAGGACGTTGTGAGCCTCCCTACATGGGTGCCAGGAACAGAGCGCTGAGCCTGTGAGAGCAACAAGCATTCTTAACCACTGAGAAATCCCTTCAGCCTGAGACCCAAAGTTTTTTTTTTTTTGTTTGTTTGTTTTTTTTCTCAGCTCCTTGAATTTGGTGTTTCCTGCCTGTTTTGATCATATTCATCCCTCCCCCACCTTTTTCGTTACCTACCCAAATTTGTGTCTGTCAAGACTAATTTGTGTTGTCCAAAATGTAAATATTCTTGGACATGCGCTCTTCCTCTAGTCAGCTTACCAGGGGGTAGACCCTTAGAGGGAACTCTCTCTTCTCTCAGCAGCTAACAGTTGCTATTCACTCCATGGCAGGGATCAGCCAGTAAATTCTTGCTCAGGACAGACTGGGCTATCTCAGGGGATAAAGAAATAAGACAATTCTTGCTGTGGTGTGGAGACAGGCAAAGTTTTAGGAGGTAGAGCCTAGTGGTCCTTCCGCCCTTGGGACATGCCTTTGGAGAGATTCTGAGACCCTGACTCTTTTCTTCCGTTGTTTCCTGGCCATGAAGCAAGCTGCTGACTATACCACATGCTCCCCACCATTGCCACTCAGTAGGCCCTCCAGAGGCCCAAAGCCATGGGCTCACCTGGCCGCAAACTGGACACCCTCAAACTGTGAGCCAAGACAACCTGTTTTCTTTTTCTTTGCACACCATCTCACGATGGACTCCCACTCCTCTCTGCTCACACAGACAACCCCCCACCCTCAAGCAGTGTTAGCGGCTTCTTCCAAATGTAGTCCCTTTCTGCCTTGCCTCTCTCCCAGTCCCTGACAGCCTGCAGGAGGCCTCACAGCACGGAGGGAGAGCTCAGGCTGCTGAGCTTCCGAAGCCTCATCTCATAGTGCTCTTGTGGCCTGCTTTCAGTTTCTCATGAATAAAACTTGTTGGGACTTGCTATGGGTTACCTCTCATTTCTCTTCGGTATTTCCAGGTTCAAATCACAGCTTCCCAAACTCCTTGCTTTTCTAGTGTATGCATTCCTGTGTCTCAAGACAAGCCTCTGGGTTTTTTTCTTTCTTTCTTTCTTTATAAGTGAATAAGCTCGGTTATTTTGTTATTGCCACGGAAAGCTAACACAACACTATGGTTGGACTGCTGTGAAAACAAACGCTGGGGAGCAATGACTGACGGGGGAAGTGAGATGAGTGTCCATCAAAAAGGCGATGTGAATTTTCAGGTGTCTCGAGGGTTGCTTTCTAAAATTCATGGCTAATATTTTGATTCGTTCTCTTTTTAAATTATTTTTATTTTTGATTGTGTGCACACATGTGTGTTCATATTGGGGGGAGGGGGTATATGCATGTGAACGTAGGTGCCTGCCCAGGTCAGAGATGTTGGAGTCCCTGGGACTGGAGTAACAGGCAGTTGTGAGCCACCTGATGTGGGTATGCTGGGAACTGAACACAGGTAGGTCCTCAGGAAGTGCAGTACACCGTCTTAACCACCGAGATGTCTCTCCAGCCCCTTCATTTGTTCTTATGCTGTCTGTGTTGGTTGACATTTTCAGACAGTTTCAGCTAAGACAGGTTCATTCATGATCACCCGTGTTGTACAGAGGGAGAAAACTGGCTGAATGATCAGAAATACTCACTCAAGCTGGGCATGGCGGTGCACAGTTTGAATCCCAGCGCTCAGAAGTCAGAGGCCAGCCTGGTCTACACAGAGAGTTCCAGGACAGCCTGAGGTGATGACCTGGGGAGAAGGTGGGGAGAATGCATGGTAGGGCTGAGGCAGTTGGCAGGGATGCCATCTGGTTTTCACTGAAGTTGAATTTAACTGGCAAGCTTTGTAGGGGCTGATAAAGTCTTCATCGCGTCTTCCTTGGTTCTTTCTGGCCACACTATTACTTGTTCCGGCTAGGACAAACTATGGCATCCCTCATGTGGCCGGCTCTAGTCTTACTTTGGATTCCTCTCGCTTGGACAAACAGACCACTGGGTATAGATGAAGCCAATGGTCCAATACTGGTCTCAGGGATTTTTGCCAACCTCACAAATGGGGATGTGTGGCCAGTGCCTCTCAATCCATTGTTACCTCTCAGTTATGAATCTGATAAATTTTCTTGAGTGTTCTCTGCTCTCACCCTGCTTTGAAAAAGCTGGGGAGGGGACAGGGGAGAAAAATGGCAAAGTGTTTGCCTTGCCTACAGGAGGACCCGAGTTTGTCCTTGGGGTGCAGGATGTGTATGTACAAGGCTCTAAGTCTGATCCCAGAAACTCACATGTGTACATGCAAACACACACACACACACACACACACACACACACACACACACACACTATACTTATACCATGTCTTGAAGAGCTGGATCGGTTCACTTGACAGCTCCGAGTAAATTGACCCATCCAATTGCTTGATTCCTCGCTGATACTTCAAGGGCTACTCCTGGTCTAGCCATCTCGGAGCAGATGAGGCAGTCTTTGTTCACATTCCCCATGACCTTCAAGTCTGATCCTATCACCTCCCTGCCTTTATCTTCCCACACTGAAGCCCTCAAGGAACAAAGCAGGGCAGCCTGTTCTGAAAGATGCTCTCTGGGGTGATTAAACGTTGCTCAGCCTTCTACAGCCTTGAGATATTTTCTCTGCAGTGGAAGGACATAAACTGTCAGGTCTGGATCACGGCCTGGAAAGAACATTCTGTTTTGGTTTGGCGTCCAGGACCATCTCTGATAAAACGTTAGGCAGTTTCTGAATATCTAGGCCTGCACAGCCTTTAACTAACAAGCACCCTGCAAGGACCCCCAGAATGCCCTTGTTTGACTCTAAACGG